CCCCCCGTCGTCTCTGCCCCCCGGATGAGTCTTTTTTTAACCCCTTTCAGCCACCGGTCAGTCGACTGTTATCTTAATTGATATATCGTGTCCGATCCCTACCCGGGGGAATTTAATCATAATCAATTTCGATTCGAGTATTAATGGTTGCCGATTTTCGCTCGACCACCATGTTGTCTTTCTGATGAAGAACCGCTTACCTCTCATTCTACCGTGCTAAAGAAGAAAGCTGTACCTATGAACCTTCATACATTCTCAAAGCGTTATGAGAAGTGGGGAGCAGTGGCGTGGCGTGCTTTGCGATTTATCGATTGATTTGTCATTTGAACCTACGAAAAAGAATCGATAAACAAGGTTTTCGTAATGAACGCCTTAATAATCGATTCTTCACTATAGCTTCAAGTGGAGAAATACCGATAATCGATTGTTCACGCCACGCCACTGGTGGGGAGTGGTCCCCTCCCCTCCGAAATTGAACGTCATTCATGTGTTTTATGAACGATCCCTAGATCCGTTTTTATCGCTTAGGAAGACCGCATCAAAGAGCACTCATGGTTGCTTTTGACGCATGGATTCGCCTGACGAGAGGTCGGAAAGATCAAACGAAAAATTCAAAGAGTTTAGTTCTTTCCAAAATTTGATGGATCCTATCAAGCTGAATTCGTGATTCTGGCAAAATGGAAACAGTTTTTTTTCTTCCATTAAAATCCAACATAAGTAATCGATTCTAGGTGAGGCAGACTGCTTCGATATATATCGATTGTTAGATATTAGTTTAAATACGCACGCCGAATTTCTAAATATCTTTGTAATAGAGAATCTCTGCTGGTTTCGATCGGTTTTAGAGAAAATATTCCCCCGTTATTAACCATGACTGAAAAAAGCGAGGTCAGGATGGATGATTCCCGATTCGGGTCTTCAACCATTTTTAGATAACGGACAGAACTTGCATGTTGAAAACTATTTTCGGGTTCAGGAGTTTGCATGTCGAGAGATGTCTAGTTAAGCACACCTGATCAGTTGAAACCAATTTATATTCTGACGGCTGCTCATCCGTCTAAACCGAGCCATTAAAAGTCACTCCCGAGTATAGTCTGGAATTTTGCCCTTTGCTTCAGCGCAAGAATAAATATCTAAATCACCTTATATTTCCAGAGGTAGGAAAACCGCCGATAGTAGGTAGAGTGTTGGTCAATTTTTGCGAGCATAAGTACAAAGATTGTTGGACAAATAATAATATTGCTTCATGTTTTCTTGAGACTTTACTTTTAGCGGTTACATCCTTCTTCAAATAACGCGATCAAATGAGTTCAAGGATCGGAGGGAACTAAGCTTTGGTTACACTAATCATTAAAAGTGAAAACTGTAGCCCATACCTACAGATTGTCCACGCAAAATTTCATACTTCGAATATATACCGAAATTCGCACACCATCTGAGATCACTTTTTTCTATGGGGAGACAACATCTCAATTTTGGTTATTAGTCATGCATGTATTTTGGAGGCTCTTGTTTGGTGGTTGATCCACGTCTTATTTGAGTAGCAATCTTAAGGTAGAATTTCATCACGTCGTTTGGGAGAACGGGGAGAAAAACGGAATAGGCCAGAATAGAATGAAAAGAAACAGAGCGGAAGGTAACAAACCGTTAAACTAGGAACTAGGAATAGGAGTTTTCGGGGGAGAATCCAGTGCCGAGAACCGGAAGGGGAAAGTTCCCAGTCGATCCTCAATAAGTGAGTGATTGAGAACGTAAGTGAGTATTTCTGTCCAAGTTTCCTGGGAAAGTAGATTTTAGATGACAATTCCTGGCAATAATCCAAGGGAAAAAACCCTGGCGTTGTGACAGGAAAAAGTAAAAAACTCCATCATCAATATTCTCTCCTTGCTGATCGTGATAAAACTGGCAGCTCCACGCGCCAAATCAATATCGTCAGAGGTCCGATTTCGGACATCAAAGTTTTATCCGTCGAGGGTTTCGTGAAATTTTATATCTCTGCTCCATGGGACTCTTTTTACCTCGTTTTGGTGTCATTTGCGCTTTGTATGAAAACTCATTTTCTATTTCATTGTTTTTTCAGAAGCCTCGTAATCACATATATAGCATCCGATGATCCGATTGATGAAAGACTTAAAAACGGGTCATCATGGAGGTCTCTGATCATTTTTTTTTCATATAGTACGAATGAATTCAGTCCACAATTTAAAATTAATGATGTTTTTAAAAAGTAGATTTTTTTACGAATGAAAATTAAATAATTGATCTTTTAAGGAGCAAGATCACGTATATATTTGATTTTTAAAACTGATAAATGTGCCTTTATCGATAAGAAATACTTCCAGGATGATTTCCATCTTACGGAATCCCGCAAAGCGTCCTCTGGAGGTTGGGCCGCATGGTGGCCAGGAGACAGAGTGCAGAGTGGTTTATTGCATAGGTTCTTAAAACTCCCTATATTTGCATGATTCTAGCACTTAATTCCACCCTAGTAGTTCAAGGTCCTGAATCAAAGGACCCGACTCGGCTAGCGGACTGATTGTTGAAACCGACAGACAAAGCTATAGACGAAGAAGACGTAGGGCGTATGGAGTGATCCTATTGGTTGAAATGGATGGTTCCTATAGACTAAGGGAAGAAATAATGGACTAACTAACGGGTCCCCCGTGAGTTGTCGTTAGTCGGTCTATTACCAACCTCCTTGGTCCACTACAACAACCCGCTTCCACCGATAATATCCCTTCAAATTCTTGTTGTCTTCTTTGTCTATAACTTTGTCTACCAATTTCAACGATCAGCCCGCAGACTAGGTTTTTAAGTAGGTAGTTCGTCTCTCTGCAGTATTTTGTCTCTGCTCCCGCAGGAAAATCCCTACAGTGACGTCACTTCTACATCAATCTATGTTTACACCCATGTCGTAAACATTTTGTCCGCCGCACGGTAGAACGCGCTCGCATCCACCATAATTAATTTCCCTTTCCGACTTTCACTACCTCCTGCCCCTCAGCCTAAATAAAAGTCAGCTTTGATACCGGCCGGCGCGGCGGCGCGGATTGAAATTGAGCGCTTTCCAGTGGAAATTGAGCGATTCAGTGCTCGTAATTTCCTTCTTTTAATTAAGAAATGTTACTTTTTTCTTATTTACTCTCTCAGTCATCGTCCTCCCGCGTAGCGAGCGGTAGAAGGTTTTGCTCACTGCTCCGCGAGATGTCGATCTGCTCAATGTTCACCTCCATTAACTTTTTCTTAACATTTTTTCTCCAATTCCACTCCAATTGCTCCTCTCCTTTCATACGGACAATACGTTTTCAAGAAACAGTTTCAGTCTTTACCTCAAACGTGCAAACGCTGCAATGCCGATTGATTTCATATGCCCTGTTATATGGCTAGAAAACTCGGAATACTTTCGGATGATAAGAAAAAATTACTTTGAGGATGTATTTTAGTACATTTATTGGTTCAAGTAGAAATGAGTTGATTGAATTGTTTCCCCATTTTTCCCAACTCAAAAATGGTATAGAACCATAATTATTGAAGCAGCTTAGGAAGTCAGCGAATTTTTACTGACCAAAAAATCTAATGAAATGGCATTAAAAAATAAAATAGAAAAAAAGTAAATGAATATCATTATAAATAAATATCATTTGAGATTATACTTATACATAATGAATAGCATCGTGGTTTGTTTTAAACTTATTATTTTGATTTTAAGTCGTCCAACCATGTTTGTTTCATAGAGTAGAGAGTTTTAACCACCAGTGCAACGCGTTCATTTGACACTGCTTGACTTCATTTCACGTATTATCTTTTTTTGACAGAAAACTAAGCAACATAACGCCTCAAAATTGTTTACGGATTTATCATATTAGGCAGTTACTTGTAATTTTGTTATTTAAGTATGATATGAAAAGAGTGGGAAACGTAAATTGTATTAATAAGGCTATTTGGAAGCATTAATGCTAGAAGGAGCTATGCGCATAGGGCTTGAGTGAAACATGGATTCTTTCAACAGAATTACGTTCAATTTTGGTGAAATCTGTTTTATAATCTTCTTTAAGTCATTACAAGAAATAAAAAATAATAATTTTAATAAGTAGGGTCCAGCGCTAACAATTCTGTTCAATCTATTTCAATTCAATTTACCTCAAGATTTGATTTCGATAGTTATACATAGAAAACATTGTCCAAAATTCAGTTTTTTTTTTTAGGGAAGGGGGCATCTGATTGAGCATAGAGCCAATTTTAACAAACAATCATAAAGCTTAGCAGGAGTTTCTATTGATACGTAATTTGAAACACACAATTAAGTTCCTCATCTCAAAATGAATAAATCTGAGCAAAAAATATAACAACTTGCGCAAGTTGAAAAAGAGAGGGAGCGGGAAGCTGTCATATAAGTGTGTTCGAACGGGGCTGGTATCAATGTAAATGCGTCATGTTGGGCGTGACATCTCTCATAACACCATTTCCTGTCCCAAACCAATTTCACCCGTGCAGGGAATAGGGAAGCGTATCTCTGAATAATTCCACCCTCGCATTGTCCACGAAACACTTTTCTTTTCAACTCGCGGCTCTATTTAATACAGATTCAAACGGTTCTCTTTTTGATTGATTTTTTAATCATCAGCCTTAGCGTTCACGTTGCTGACGTCCAGTCGTACGACTGTAGCAAAATTTAGCCGTTCGTGAACTTCCGAGTTTATTATGGATTGCAAAAACGAATTTTTATTCCCACGGTTTAGGCGAGTAGGCGAGGCTACTGAATAGTACTATTACTATGTACCATACTATTATTACTGTTGCTAGTGCTATACTGCCGTGCAACGCAAAAACGCCGTAAACGTCATTTTACATCTTGTGGAAACAATGTATCATAGCAGAAAAACTTGTGTACCTTGGGACAATGTCATTACAGGATTCTTTCGCAAATACTATCGAGAA